CGGAGGAGAAAGAAAAGGAAGAGAAAGAAAGCAGCGAAGCAGGGAAGAAACAAAGACCTCAAAGAGCAGTTCGAGCTAATACCAACCTCAAATTTAAGTAAATCAATACAAGGCAACAAGGATGGACGATTGGAAAATCCTATCGATAAATGTAAATGGACTTAACGATCATAAAAAAAGAAAAACCTTCTTTAACAAATTAGTTATACAAAATGCAGACATAGTCTGTCTTCAGGAGGTACACATTAAACAAGAACACATAAAATATTTGGAACATAAAAAATTGGGGAATCTTTATACCTCTTTAGCCATGAAGAAAAAGAGAGGGGTGGCATTATATATTAGAAAAAAGATGAAGACAGAACTGAAATATGCAGACCCCAAAGGTAGATTACTAATTGTTGAAATTGAGAGGGGCAATTCGGCAATATTAATAGCAGCGATCTACGCCCCAAACAAAAATTTGAAAGAGTTTTATAACAAAACAAGAGAAATAATAAGAGGACTGGATAACAACAATATCTGCATCATTGGGGATTTCAACGGAGTGGCGGATGCATACAAAGATCACAAAAGACCCAGAGGCCAAAAGAAAATAAGGAAAAATTTACCAAAAACTTTCTTCGACTTAGTGGATGAATTAAACCTTGTAGATATCTGGCGAACACTACACCCAAATAAGAGACAATACACCTTTTATTCTAACCCCAATAAATCATGGTCTAGAATAGACATGATGTGGGTAAGCAGGAACTTGGGCATGGACATTGCGTCAGCGGAAATCTTACCCAATACCTGGGCAGACCACAATCCACTGGAAATCAGATGGAAAAGTAGATATAAGAGAAAAAACACAAGATGGAGAATGAATACACAATTTCTGCGAGATAAAAAAAATATTGATAAAGTCAAGAGGGAGTTAGAAATCTTTTTCGAAGAAAATGAAAAAGAACCAATGGACCGGGGGATAATCTGGGACACGATGAAGGCCTATTTAAGAGGCCTAATGATATCATACGGAGCATACAGAAATAAAGAGAGGAGAGAAACTCAAAGAATATTGCTAGAAGAACTGGCAAAGGCAGAGAAAGAGGCGCAACAAAACCCTGACAATGAAACAACAAAAGAAAACTGGATGAACATTCGCCATAAATTAAATATAATAGATCAAGAAAAATTAGCATATAATATTAAGAGAACAAAACAATATTACTTCGAGAATGCCAACAAGCCAGGAAGGTGGTTATCCTACAGAATCAAAAAAGAGAGAGAGAAAGGAATTATTCTCCAACTAGAAGACACCGAAGGCCATATCACAACTAAAGAGGAAGAAAAATTGGAAATAGCACGCGAATTCTATGCGTCTTTATATAAAGAAGAAGATATACCCAAAGAGAAAGTAAAACAATATTTACTGGAGCAGCGAATGCCACAGATTGGAGAGGAGGAAAAAGAGATGTTGAACAAAGAGATCACATTAACAGAGTTAAAGACTGCAATTGCCAAATTGAAAAAGAACAAATCTCCGGGCCCGGACGGATTCCCAGGGGAATTATACAAAAATTTAGAATTAGAAGACATTTTACTCCCAAGAATGCTCCAAATTTTTAATGAGGCCTTAACGAAAAACAAAATACCAGAATCTTGGAGAGAGGCCTATATTACACTTTTACCAAAAGAAGGATCGGATATCAAATTGATACAGAATTATAGGCCAATTTCACTTCTCAATACTGATTATAAAATATACATGAATATATTAGCGGAAAGATTAAAAAGAATTCTCAATAAGATAATACATAGCGATCAGAATGGGTTCCTCCCAGGGAGGCAAATTAGGAATAACACAAGGACGATTCTGGATGTGATAGAATATTATGAGGAACACCCGGAAAAAGAGGTGGCATTAGTTTTTTTAGACGCACAGAAGGCCTTCGACAATTTGAACTGGGAGTTTATAAAGCAACAACTGAACATAATGGGATTTGGACAAAATTTTACAAATACAATAAATACGATTTATGAGAAGCAAAGGGCCAATATTTTAGTAAACGGTGAACTTACCAAAACATTTCAGATCAGTAAAGGAGTAAGACAGGGATGCCCAATGTCACCACTTTTGTACATATTGGCATTAGAAGTGTTATTGAAGAAGATTAGGGAGAACGATCAAATCAAAGGGCTTAAAATCAGGAAGGAAACATATAAAGTTCAAGCGTTTGCGGACGACGTTGTCCTAATTATGGAAGAACCGGTGGAAACAGGCATACAAATATTGGAAACACTCGATAAATATGGAGAAGTAGCAGGACTCAAATTAAATAAATCTAAAACCAAAATGCTCACCAAAAATATGACGAAAAACCAGAAAGAAGCCCTGGAGGAATCTATGGGAATCCAAATTGTGAAAAAAGTTAAATATTTGGGAGTATGGATCTCAACAAAGTACCTGGCCCTCAAAGAGGACAATTATGTCCCCTTGGTAAAAAGTATAAAACAAGATTTAGAGAAGTGGGGGAAGTTACAAATTTCCTTCCTTGGGAGGATAGCGACAATTAAAATGAGCATCTTACCCAAATTGTTGTACCTGTTCCAAACAGCGCCAATTAAATTTGATAAAAAAATTTTTAGTGAACTCAACACTACTATTAGGAAGTTTATTTGGGGAGGAAAAAAACCAAGAATAGCAATTAGGAGCTTACAAGATAAAAAAAATAGAGGAGGGCTTGGATTACCAATATGGGAAACATATCACAAAGCAGCAATTCTTGTTTGGTTAAAAGAAAGGGCGACGTTAGCGAACAAAAGAATTCTAACGCTAGAAGGGCATGATCTCCAGATGGGTTGGCATGCCTATTTATGGGAAACGGGGAAAAAAACCAAAACACATTTCAACAAACATAAATTGAGGGATATATTGAAGTCAACATGGGAAGAAATAAGACGAAAACACTACACTAAAATTCCCAGCTGGCTTTCAACCATGGAGGCGATAATTTACCCAAATGTCCTGGACCATGGTAAAACTGTAAAATATAAAGAAATCCTAGATGAGGCAGGGAACCTCAAAACATTAGAACAATTAAAAGAACAGGGCACTTTTGTTGAATGGTGGACATACGCACAGATAAAATCAAGATACAAAAAAGATAAAGAACAATACGGTATAGAAATGGGATGCAAAGATTTTGATAAAATTTGGATGGGTACAGATAACAAATTATTAGCTAAAATATACAACTATTTAGTAGAATATGACCTGATGGAAGAAGTGGTTAAAGGCCCAATGCTAGCATGGGCCAAAAATATTGGGAAAAACATAAATTTGGAAGAATGGGATCAAATATGGAACAACAATATAAAACTTACCAAGGCAACTACTTACAAGGAGAACCAGTATAAGATGATTTATAGGTGGCACCTAGCACCAGCTAGGATCGCCAAAATTTACCCTAACTCAAACCCAAAGTGTTGGAAGTGCGGACACCAGCAAGGTACCTTTTACCACTGCTGGTGGACCTGCTCTCAAGCAAAAAAATATTGGAAGATGATTTGCAATTGGCTTTCAGAAATAATAGGTGAAATCTTTGAATTAGACCCTAAAACACTTCTCCTGGGAATCCTGAAGACGGAAATGGCAAAAAAGAAGAAATACTTGGCAGTGCATATAATAACAGCAGCAAGAATCGCTTTCGCTCAACAATGGAAAGAGAAAAATATACCAACTAAGGGACAAGTAATCGGCAAAATAATGGAATGTGCCGAGATGAATAAATTAACATTAAAAATTAATGACAGAGAAGATTCGGATTATTACAGCGTATGGGATAAGTGGTACGGGTGGTTAGAGAAGAGGAAATTGAAATAAAAAGGAAAGAGACCAGAGCAAGTACAAGAAATAGAAAAATGAAATAGTAAGAGAAGAGGTACTGCGGATGGTAGGAAATATAATAAGGCAAGGAAAGGTTACATGGGTAAGCAAAAGATATAATTTATGTATTTACTAATTTATTGTCAAAGATCATCACATATACATATGCTAAAAATGATATGTGAACAATTTTTTTTTTGTTTTTTACCATGTAACTGGTTTGCAAAGATTATCTACTTATGTATAATATGTACAATTTGTATTTATTTCTTTTTCCATACTATGTAACTGGATGGATAAAATTGTATTATTATAATTTCTTACAATAAAACATTAAAAAAAAATATTTATGAGCAAGAATGAAGGAAGATCAAGGTTGCTTAACCTGCTGTTGAATTCAGCAAGAGTTCTGGTTATTTCCAGATAGCAGTATTTCCACATTTTTTTTCCTGGTCTTTATACTTTTGAATATTCTTAGCCACAGAATTTTGAATGTGTAACTTTTATTAATTTGCATACATATATCTGTGCTCACAGTATCCTGACTTCTGAAAATAATCAAGAAACCTGAATCAATCATAGATGAACTAAATTGGACATTATACATTGAGACATTGTGACCTATGGAAGCATAAAAACAAAAGACTATGAGATTACCAGTCAATAGTCTCTCAGTAACCCCAGTTCACGGGTGTCAAACTCGCCATGTCACATTGCCATCACACATTTCATGACATTTTCCCCTTCGTGGAGCTGAGGTGGGCATGGCCTGCTCATGACACATCTGGCCCGTGGGCCACCAGTTTGGCACCCTTGCCTTAGTTCTTAGATGCACTAAATTGTTTGGGTAGAAGTGAGCATCTTCTCTTGGAGCAATGATTTATTCATAGTTGTACTTCCAATGACTCAGCAGGAGTAGACGTGGATCCTGGCACTGCACCACAGAATTTTAACATGTTGCAAGGGAATTGGCATCAGATGTTTTGCATGGATGGTGTTCCTATACAAGAGTTGGGGAGAGGACATGGTTTCAGTCTGGACCAGGGCAGCAGTTCTCATTTTTGCTGAAAGAAAGATCTGCATTATTTACCTTTGTCAATGAGGATACTAACTCTTTATTTCCCAACAGGAATACTTCATCCATCAGCCATGAAGATCTATCATCTTTTCTTTTTGACTCTCTTTCTGAAAGCTGTAGTTGGTCCAGGTACAAAAATAAGCCATCTTTAAGCACATTGCGATGCAATATATGTAGCTCCATTAATATAGTCACATTGTGACAGATGGAATTATGCTAGATATCTTTATGAAATATTTTAAGTCCTTTCAAAGTGATATTGTAGATGTACTGAATATGCTTGTAAATACTATGTAAAGTATCCATATTAGCGTTCCATTATTAAGTATACATTTTAAAAACTCACGTATAAATAAGGCCCACACATATTGGACAGCATTTTTACACCATACTTGTTATATAGTTTCATGCAGTGATGGGATTCAATTTTTTTAACAACCGGTTCTGTGGGCGTGGCTTAGTTGGGGGTGTGGCTTGGTGGTCATGTGACTGGGTGGGCATGGCTAGCTGGTCATGTGATCGGGTGGGCATGGCTATGTGCAAAGGGACTATTCAGAGGGCTGAAAAAAGTCATTTATGACTGGTCCTCACAATTTTGACTGGTCCTCGCACTTATGACCATCCTCACATTTATGCCCATTGCGGCATTCTTAACAACCGTGTCAGTCATTTCACCACTACTTCTCTTCACCACAGTAACAAGTTAGGGCGCAAAACGTAAAATGTGAGGACAGTCATAAGTTCAAGGATTGGTCAAAAGTGCAAGGATCGGTCAAAAATAACTTTTTCAGCCCTCTGACTAGTCCATATGCACATAGGGACTACCCAGAGGGCTGAAAAAAGTGATTTCTGACAGGTCCTTGCACTTTTGACCGGTCTTCGCACTTATGACTGGTCATCATTTATGCCCATTGCATCATTCTTAATTAAATTAATTAAATAAAAATGACCTGCTGGAGCAGTCAGAAGCAGTTCAGGCTGGCTGCAGGGCAGGGTGATACAACCGGGGTAGGTAGGTGGGAGACAGGCGCAGGCCTACAGGGCTGGCTGCAGGGTGAAGCAATCGGATGGGGTAGGTCAGGGGTCTGCAACCTTAAATACTCAACCTTAAACACATGTAAACACTTAAACACAACCTTAAACCTGGGTGGACATTGTGAACTCCATATCACTTACTCCCACCCAGGTTTTGTGGTTCCAAGTATTTTCTTTTAAACAGATATCTCTGGGTGTCTCATCTCTCTCATCTTTCTTTCTACCCTTCATCTCTCTTTCTCCCACTATTCTCTCCTTCATCTCTCTTTCTCCCCCCTTCTCTCCTTCCACTTCTCTTTCTCTCCATCTCTTTCTCCTCTCCCCCTTTCTCCCCTTCATCTCTTTCCCCCTTCTCTCCTTCATTTCTCTTTCTCTCCATCTCTTCCTCCTCTCCCCCTTTCTCCCCTTCATCTCTTTCCCCCTTCTCTCCTTCATTTCTCTTTCTCCCCCTTTCTCTCCTTCATTTCTCTTTCTCTCTATCTCTTTCTCCCTCCCCCTTTCTCCCCTTCATCTCTTCCCCCCCATTCTCTCCTTCATTTCTCTTTCTCTCCATCTCTTTCTCCTCTCCCATCTGGGCAGCGGTGGCAGCAAACCTACCGGACCATCGGGTCACCTCTCAGCTTGGAGGTGGCACCTTGAGCCTGCGCCCCACTGCGCATGTGCCCACCCGGCTGCGCCTGCAGCCGGCTCTTGGTGCTCTTACTGAGCTTCACAATGGGGCAGATGGTGCCCCTCCTCCTACTGGAGCTCATTACAATGCGGAGCTTCGGCTGCAGCCTGGCAGCCAGTGTTCCAGGGAGGATAAAAGTTGTGCATCTCCCCCAGTGACTGGATGGGCTAGGGAAGGGGTGGGCAATTGTGGCTCTTTTACAACCTGTGGATTTCAACCCCCAGAATTCCTGAGACAGCTGTCTCAGGAATTCTGGGAGTTGATGTCCACAGGTTGTAAAAGAGTCACAATTGCCCACCCCTGGCCTAGGGTAGGCTGGCGCCGCGCGGCTGGGAGGCGGGGCGAGGGGTGGGCGAGCCAGCAATTTAACAAATGGTTTGGTGTGCTGCGAGGCCAATAAATTACAAAAAACACCGAACCATTTTTTAAATTGCTGGCTCGCCTGCCCCTCGCCCACCACTATTTATTCGCAATAAATAGTGGTGCGGAGGGGTGGGGAAAAGGGCAAGCCAGCAATTTAACAAATGGTTTGGCCAAACCACCTAGAACTGGCAGAATCCCATCACTGGTTTTTGTTTTTTGTTTTTTTGCTTTAATTTATATGCCGCCCTTCTCCAGAGACTCAGGGCGGCTTACAATGCATTAATCAATAGCCTTCATACTTTTGTATATTTATACAAAGTCAGCTTATTGCCCCCACAATCTGGGTCCTCATTTTACCTACCTTTGAAAGGATGGAAGGCTGAGTCAACCTTGAGCCTGGTGAGATTTGAACTTGCAGTAATTGCAAGCAGCAGATGTTAATAACAGTTCTTTAGTCCACTGTACTACAGGCTCTTTCATGGTTTCATGTTTAATGCAGAGTTGTAAGTAAACCTACATTCCTCTTGCATCATTTGCTTGCTGATTTGTTGCTGAATAAGTATTTTTTCAGAGGCTTTAATGTAGCTACTGTATGCACAGAAGTGTCCTCCTTAATAATCTTGTGAAGAAGGTTATGTAGAAAGAGAATTTCTGGTCCAAAGTCACTCAATAAATAATGTAGTCAAGTGGGAATCGAACCTGGGTCTCTCTAGTTCAGGAAAAACATCTTAACCACTGCAACCTCTGTTCAAATTCTGGAGAACAAATCACCAAACCCATAAATCATGTTAATATTCTTTTAATTTTTAGTAAAAAATATCCATAAAAGGTTTCTAGTCACTAATAAATGTTGTCGTTGGCTTTTTCCCTAATCAAACAATTTCATTTTGCATTTCTGGAAATTCTGTTATGTTCACCATCACTTGTGGGTATATCACAATCTTTCCACCTTTGTACATATAATAATCAACCAAACTCTCTACCTTTCCAACTTCTCTAGTTCAGCTACCTTGATTAGAGGCACAAACTGACATCCAGAGAGCCAGGGGCTGACTACCTCAACTACAATTCCTGGTTTCCCATGGCTATATGTCACTCTTGCAAAGTAGTTCAGTCAAGAAGCACACCAATCCTAACTCTGACTTTATTGTAAGATGACATTAACAGAATCTTACAAGTCTCACCCATCCATCGCCTCACAACAGTACTAAGGAGGATCTCTTCTGAAATATTTGCCTAAGGTCATTCCTACATACCATAACATTCCATTGGAGTTGGGCAGCTAATAAATTCAAATAATATAATAATTGAGGGGTCATTAGTGCTCTCTGAGCTTGTTTTTTTGCAAATATTTCATTTCCCAAATTAGATGATATCATTAGTGCTAGTATTAGTATTGATGATGTTACCAAGTTTGAATAATAAAATGTCTGCAAGGAAACAACCAAGCTTGGAGAGCACCAAGAATCCCTCATATCAACCCTGAGCTATAAATATTCTCCTTTAAAATCAATAATAATAATAACATTTCTGTTCCATAGAAAGATAATCTCATATGCATATATATAAATCTACAGAGAATACATATATATATTCTATAGATAGATAGATAGATAGATAGATAGATAGATAGATAGATAGATAAAAAGAAAGAAAGAAAGAAAGAAAGAAAGAAAGAAAGAAAAAGAAAGAAAGAAAGAAAATACACCGACAACTGTGTAATTTGGGATAAAATATTTCACCCAGAATCATGTAATATATAAGTTTGTATTTCTATACAGTATAATGCACAAAGGTTTTTTAAATATATTTTTAATTTTTCATGTAGATATTGCTGGAGGTCAAGGTGATTGTCAACAGCGTCTTAATGGCTTCTGTTATCCGAAGGACCTTCCCTGTCCTGATTGTTTTGCTTTTTATGGACACTGTGAATTTGACCTCCAGTGCTGTGCAAAGTAAGTCAGTTTTCCCAGGGTACAGAATACAGGTCTTGTGGATCTGATCAAAATTTTTAATTGACATTTTACATTTACATTTATACTTTCCAATCTAAATTTTAGTCTGTGTTTTGAATTTACGTTATGGTTATTCAATTCAAGTATCACTATTGAATATGTAGTAATATGAGATCTGTATTAATTTACTATACTATACTTGGAAAATAGCTATTGAGCGTGTACATTTTGCATTTACTCCAGACTAGCATTAAAGACATAACATTGGTTTGTACTTATCCTGCTTCTTCAGTCTTCCCAGCTACGTGGAATATGATAGATTGCTGTCTATCAGATTAATGAGCATATTGGAATATTACTTGTTCTACCCTATAAAATTCTATAAGGTACAAGAGATCATCCTTGTAATTTTCTATTTGTAGGTTATATGCTATTGTAGCAAAGATATGTGATAGTGTGCACAGTATTCAGATCAAAGGGTTGCAATCTCTTTTTTTTAAAAAAAAATTAGGTCTTCAAAAGCATCCATTGTTAATCCTTAACATTTTATTTTCCTCTTAATAATTTCATGGCAATTTTAAAAAAATCACTCATGTATCAACCTACAATCAAACAACTATCAATTATATGTTTAATTAACATATATTTTAATCTTTTATGGGTGGTGTAGTGGCTCAGCAGTAAAGACACTGGGCTTATCAACTGGAAAGCCAGTAGCCCAGGTTCAAGACCTGAGTGTCAGGAGATGGGATGAGTTCCCATCCTCCCCCCAGTTCCTGCCAACCTAGCAGTTCAAAAGTATGTAAATGTGAGTAGATAAATAAGTACCACTTCAGTGGTAAGGTAACAGTGTCCCATGTGGTTATGCTGGCCACATGACCACAGAAATGTCTTAAAACAGCACTGACTCAATGGCTTTGAAACAGAGATAAACATCAGCCCCTATAGTTGGCAACAACTAGCAAAATCCACAAGGACTGTTTTATCTTTTTCTTTACCGAATCCTCTATACCAGGTGTGTCAAACTGGTAGCCTTCGGGCTGGACACATCATACATCATGCACAGGCCATGCCCACCCCACCTCCGCAAAGGGGAAAAAATGTCACGATACATCACATGACGGCAATACAACACCGTGAATTTGACACCCGTTTTCTATACCTACAAAATAGTTCTCTACTTGAAATAATTTATTCCTTTTCTAATGTACAGAATATGGTGGCTTCCGGAGTGTAAATATGCAACTTCACCAGCTGAAAGTTTTTTTCCTGAAACAACAACTTCACAAATATTTTATGATGAAACTGAGACACCAAAATAAACTGTTGTGACAATCATTCAGGTAGATTGTAGCTCAAATTACACATAAATATTTTTCTTCCTTAGTTCTGATTAGTATTGTCTATACATGTTCAGGGTAATAATTATAACACTAGATAACCTGTCACCTTCTGGGTCATCATTTTAGAGATATTTCTTTACCTAAAGAGAGAAACAGAATGACCACAGTCATGCAAAAGAGCAAAGGGAGCAGGAGTGACTTTTATCAGCTTTCTTTTTAAGGAATCTCTTTGGGTGAAGCTTACAGGAACTATTGAAGTTCTTTCCTTCCTTCTCTCCTTACCTGCCTCATTAACCATGATATCAATTACCAATATTTCATTATTCCCACAGTGGCAGCTATAGAAAAATGGCTGCTCAGATTGATCAGATGCTTCCCAAGCTTCCATCTTGCCTTTGACAGCTTTATTTATGCCTATCCTATGTTGTTATTAAATTATTATCAGAATCTGCTGACTTTATAATAGTGGTTTTAAGACTGATTGGGTAGATGCAGGGGTGACATTGTAATATAATTTCAATTATATTTAATTTATATCTCAAATTATTGTATTTTATTCTGATTTTATTCTAGATCGTATTTTACTCTAATTTCATTTTAACTCATGTTATATTCCTATTCCAATTTAAATTTAAATTGTTTCTACCAAACTTTTTTGATAATTGTTTCTGGAGCGTTGTACTTTGATATGGCCCAAGGGCTAATCAATAAATAAAGATTGAAGACTTTATATAACCAATATGACTGTGTTTATTACAACCAACTTTCTTCTACATTATTTTTCAGCTCCTGCTTAGTAAGAACATCTGAGTACCCTCTAACAGTTGATGGAGCATTTGGAGATTACCCAAATTCCCAAAAATGTTGGTTTTTACGAGTTAATGCTTTTCTAATAAAAAGCTGTGTTCTTGTCAAATGTCGAAGCTAATATACATTAAAACTGATACTTTCCATACTTCATTGCAATGCCTCAGTTCTCCGTTCTTTTTGCTGATGCTTTTTTCCACATTTTCAGAAATTATTCCTCCAAAATAATTCATGCATTTAAAAAAAAATGGGTTATATCTGGGTAAGAATGTAATAGCCATGTTAGATTCCTCCTAGGTTCTGTTGTGTTGCTCCATCATGGTGGGGCAGGGTACCTGGGCACAATGACCAAAGAAGGCCAGGACTGTATGGCAAGCCTGTATATTCCCAGCAGGATTACCAAAGGCATGAAGGTCATCCAGCTATACAGCTAAAACAAATAGGCAACTGTGTTGGGTTGCTACAATATAAGAAAACACTGGAGGATCATCAATTGTCAGACACGAAAGATCAAGTCTATATACAAAGATCCAATTAAACTGATGTATTGCTAATCATGCCTATGCATAGAAAACCTTTCAACTAACAGTTGGCACCTGCTTGAAGTTAGATGAAGGTCAAGAGAATTCAATGGGGGTTAAAATTATTTTGCTTGTGGCTACATAGGCATTCCAGACTGATCCCTCTTTAAACTCCATCACCAGTTATACCATTCCTTCTCCTACATCACTTTAGTGAGAATACTGGCCTTAGCCATTAAAGCCAGATGAGTGACTTTGAGCCAGTCATTCTCTCTTAGCCCAATCGAATTGCCTCACAGAATTGTTCTTATGGGGAAATATAGAAGGAGGAAGGTGTATTCGATATGTTTACCATCTTGACTTGCTTTTAAAAATAATAAAAGTGGGAAAGAAAGAAAGAAAGAAAGAAAGAAAGAAAGAAAGAAAGAAAGAAAGAAAGAAAGAAAGAAAGAAAGAAAGAAAGAAAATAAATACCAAAGGCATCCATTCATAGTGTATATTGTACAAGTAATGGTGATCCTGTATTTCTCACCAAGAAAACCATATGGAGAGAAAATATAAAATGATTGATGATGTAGTGCCAGAGAGCGGGGTCCTCAGGTCAGATCAGAGCTGGGTTGCTGAGGGTTCGCAGGGGTTCAGGAGAATCTCTAGCTAAGATTCTGTGCAGTTCTGAGAACCCCAAATCCCACTTCTGGCTGGCCCTGCCACCTGCCCCTCCCAGGAATCCGTTTTCAGCCTCCAGAGGGCCTCTGGAGCCTGGGAGGCTGTTTTCGCCTTCCCGGAGGCTCAATGAAAGTCTCCAGAGCCCAGGGAGAGCAAAAAATGCCCCCTCCCCACTGTAGTGCAGGAGACTGACTAGGCCACGCCCACCATGGCCACACCCACCCATCAACCGGGCAAAGAACCCCTTGCTAAAATTTTTGAACGCCCCCCCCCCCCCCCGGGTCAGATGGTACTTAGCATGCTACTGAGGAAGAGCTGAGCATCTTTTGGAGTAAATAGTAACATGGCTCGATTAAAGCTTTCAGGACATCTTGTTGCTGATGCTGCCATACAGGAAAAGAAAATCTGAAGTTGCAAAGGACAATTACAGTGAGAACATGTAATGTAAGAATCATGAACAAAGGAAAGCACAACACAATGAAAGATAAAATGATATGACTACAAATAGACTTCTTAGACGTCAGAAAATTAAAATGGACTGGAGTTGGACACTTTTGATCAAAAGATGACACTGTTTATTACTCATGACAGAGTAAGAGATAGAGAAGAAATGGTGTTGCTTTTATAATTGGGAAACTGATTTATCGCTAATCATGTTCTGTTTTCTTTTTCTTATTTTAAGACTTTAACTTTCAACTTTTATTTTCCTCAGAATTCAGCACTGACCATTTAATTTCCTTAATTTGGAAAACAGTGCATGGGAATCTTTCCAACTAACTTAAGAACAGCTACTTGACTATAGTGCAATCAATGACTAAATAATATTAATCAGACTTTGCGCATAACTCCTTAATATGATGATCATTCAAGTTTTTACTCTAACCACCAATGCAGAAGAAGAAGAGGTTGATGGGTTTCATGCTCAAGTTCAGTTTGAAATAGAAGAACATGCAAGCAAGATGAGCTGGCTGTAATTGGAATTGGAATGTGAAAGTTGGAAACATTAAAGAGGAAAATGTAATTTATTTTGTAGCTTAGGAAACTGAAATGAAGCAGGAAATAAATTTCAGCCTCTCCAATGATTACTTCGAACAAACAAAAAGATCCTTTTATACATGGATTGAAGAACATACTGTGAAACTATAGGAATTGATGAAATACCGATTGAAATATGGCAAGCAACAGAAGAAGAATCAATAAAGTTTCTAACCAAACTATGCCCGCAAAATTAAGGGATGACACAGTGACAAACCGTTTGGAAGAGGTCAATTACATTCCAATTATCAAAGAAGGAAATTTAACAGTATACATACTATTGTACAATAACTCTAATTTCATATGATAGCCAAATCATGCTCAGAATCTTTTGTAAGATTTCAGCTTCCCATTATAATTTTTATTTCAAAAATAGCAAGAAAATAAATTCAATCAATCCACATAAATATGTAAAACTACATTAACATGCTACATCAACATTATCTGATCTATGCATTTCCAAAATTTCTCATAAAATATACCTACTAGGTCAAATTAAAATACTGACTGTTCAATACAGAGTAATGTTCCCAATATTTTAATCAAGCAAAAATGATGGCATTGTGTTATATTTTTACTTTTATGACCAAAACTGAATTATTTTCTCCCTCATATTCAGTGAAATCTATAGAATTGCCATCTTTTGGGGGCAAAATGGCATTCTTCTACAAACCCATATAGTTGGAGATGAGGTACTAATTTAAATCTAGTTGATGGGGCAAATGGGATCCCTTCCAGTGGTCCATAAAGCAGTAAGCTGAAATAATAAAATAGTATCAGAAAACTATGGACAGATTCCCCCCCCCCCCAATAGGGACTTGTCCTTTCCTGATTCCTGGAGAGATGTTCTGTTTTCTTTTTCTCGTTTTATGACTTTAACTTTCAACTTTTATTTTCCTCAGAATTCAGCACCGACAATTTAATTTCCTTAATTTGGAAAAAAAAGTTATCTGCTTTCAGTTTTTTCATTGAGGAGATCCTATTTTTTCTCTTTGTTGTCATTGCACATTAGGATTCCATCCAAATGAATTATGGATCTTTAAATAAGTAGTGGGGGACCTGGAGATATAAACGTAGCTGTGGCAAAAGAAATAGAGTTGTCAATGGTAATAGCAAAGTGGGACATAGCATATACACAAGAGAAATTTTGAATGATTACTGTCCAAATTCTGGAGAAGCTTGACTGATTAACTTAGTTACCTATCACAAGTAGAAAATACCATGACAAATCAGCTACAGCTAACTAGTGGAACAGATGAAAGCTATAGCAGGGCATTCCATTGGTTATTTATCCAATAAGCACATAAAAATGAGAGTTAAACATCAGTCTTTGAACAACATCTTCTTCTGAAATGACAAGGCACATCCAGGAAGACACCTGAAGGACAGGTCTCATTGGGTTGTAGAATGCAGAATCCACCCATTGATGCACAGGTAAGTAGAATGGCTTCTATAAATTGGTCTTCTGTAAAAAAAATAAAATGTTTATCAAAGCTCTGAAATCTTCTCTTCATGTTATCTTTTCACCATTATTACTACACAAGCAATTCAATCATTAGGCAAGTTGGTGCAACATACACATAACACAAAAGGGCATGAGCTGTATGGCTGATCTGGGAGTCGTGCAATACAGGTAGTCTTCGATTTACAGCAGTTCATTTAGTGACCGTTCAAAGTTACAACGGCGCTAAAAAAAAGTGACTTATAACCGTTTTCCACGCTTACGACCATTGCAGCATCCCCGTGGTCACATGATCAAAATGGATAATTGACTCATAATTATGACGGCCACAGTATTGTGGGGTCATGAGATCACCTTTTGCGACCTTCTGAGAAGCAAAGTCAATGGGGAAGCCAGATTCATTTAAGAACCCTGATGCTGACTTAACAACTGCAATGATTCACTTAACAAGAAAGGCAAGAAAGATTGTAAAATGGGGTGAAATTCACTTAACAACTGTCTTGCTTAACAACAGATATTTTGGACTTAATTCTGATCATAGATTGAGAACTACCTATATAGATGTTTGTCCAATAAAGAAATACTTAGAGCCTTATAAAATAGCAGGCATATTGCTTAAAAAGATAACTTATACAAGCTTTTCTGAAACCAGCAAGGCTGAGGACAGGGTATTTTGCTTTCACCTAAAGTACTGTGGGAGAAACAGCCAGACAAAAATGTATATAGTGCAGTAATGGCTAGCTATCAACAGTCCTGGGATTCCTTTCAAACCGTAGTTTTACTTCTGACTTCCCAGCCTCACATATAATAAATGTGATAATGAAGTCAGCATGCATCAGAATAAAGGGTACTATCTGACCAGATTAATTTTTCTTACAAAAATAAAATCCAAGCCCAATTTTTCAGGGAGACAGATGGCTACCAGAGTAAAGAATATCAATGGAGAAGCTTTTCTGAAAGTTCCTTGTATCAATATAGTATTATTCTTTACAAACAAGGCAAATACAATTTCAGTTTTTAAACATGTGTTTTTCTTTCTATTATATATGGTGATAAGGTTTTTTTCTTATGCTTTTACATAATGAAGACTTAGTTGAACAGCACCTAAAATTTACATACAGAAAACATTACGTTTAGAAATATGATTATATGTAGGTGAGCATAAAAGTACATAGAATAAAACATGCAAGCTGAACATTTCTCCAACTCATTCCTTCACCTCTAATATATGAGCCAATCTACTAAACTGCCTTTCCAAGCTTAAACCCATGCAGAGTTTATGATCTCTTGAAAATAGTGATTTGGCTAAATATTAATATAGTATTCTCATCAAAATATTTATGACAATAAGATGTTCTTTGTGCAGTATATTATTGAATCATCGCTCACCCTGAGCAGCATGGAAGAAGAAGAAAATTACAGCAGTGAAACAGTATAAAATGTTCATGGCTGCAAATTGGCTGCAGTTTCTCTAGTCTTGAAGGGAAGAGACACTGAGAAGAAAAGGATCTGGGTAAGGAAAAAAGTGATGTCATCTGAGCATTATTAATTCGTGCAATGTGAGTTGCAAGCTGCAGAAATCTCTTAGGCTGAAACCAGAAAATTGTTACTAATACAGCACAAAGGCAGTTTTGGGTTACCTGAACACATATTTTTGTACTCTCCCTTGCTTCGAAAAGGATATGGTGCTGGTAACACAATAGTAGTGTGTTGAGAATGGCAAAGAAGAGGGATTTAAAAAATTAAAATGGATTTAAAATGGATTTAATTTATAACTTCCCTGTTGCTGTCCTGCCCTTTGAAAGAACATGTTCCCCTGAGATCCAGATTATACCAACCATAACAGGAAAGCCTTGAAAACTAGTGTCTTTCCCCAGGCCCTGGGCCAGAATAGCAATAGAAATAGCACTTAAGATTTAGACACTCCTCACAGTGCTTGACAGCCCTCTCTAAGCTGTTTTTACAGTCAGCATATTGCCCCCAACAATCAGGGTCATTTTACTGACCTCGGAAGGATGGAAATCTGAGTCAACCTTGAGCTGATGAGAATCAATCTGCCAAACACTGGCAGTTGGCAGGCAGCAGAATTAGCCTGCAATACTGCATTCTAACCACCGCCACCATGGCTCTTGTATGAACCAGTTGTATGTTATAGATCCAATTTCTCTCCGTTCCATTTTGTTTTTATTGAATTTTGATCTATATTGTGATATTCCTTTGTAAATCACCAAACGTTGCTTGGTAAATGGACAGTCTTAAGATATATTTAATTTTAAATAAATTAAATAGAAATAATAAGAAAAGATAGTTTGGAACATCTTGAGAGATTGCACTAGAATAGGAATAGGAAATATGACTTGTAAATTGGGCTTGATTAGGTTTTGTGTTCTACATAAACATACACAATGGTCTCTTCCAGGATAAAATGGCATTTTCCTATAAATATTTTATTTTTTTGTAAAAAATCACTCAGCTGCAGGAAATGCCAGGAGAACATGTACGGTAAGTATTTCTCTCTTCTAATAAGTCCAGGAAACATGAAATGAAGCACCTACTGAAGGTCATGATATAATGTTCCCATCAAGACTTATGTGGCAAGGCGGGGCTAGACCAAAGTATTTGCATCAGGGCCTTCACTAAAGCAATTTGCGTAAATGCAAGAGGGGCATCAGAGAAGCTATTAGCATGACAGGAGAACTGGATGAAAGGAAGCAAATGCTCAGAAGATTTCATTGTTAAGGATCTCCAACAGGGTACTTCATCTTATGCAGCCTAAAAAACAGAGACATCAACAAACGCCTCTATTGTTTTTAAAATAACCAGAGACAAATATTCTGAGGTTCAAACTGAAAGCACACTGCCCAGAGTATCTTCTTTTAAAGAGAAAAGAGAAAGAGAGAAAATTTTCATCAGTTCCTGAAGTTTTTCTTGGGGTGGGACCATCCAGACCATCTGTTGTATTGATATGCTTGCAAGAATATTTCTTAAATTAAATATTTCTCCTGCAAAGATTTCTTAGCCTTTGTTAGGAACTAATGACCATCCCTTTCCTTTTTCAGTCTCTCACCTGAATGAGGCTGAAGAAAAAGAACCAGGACTACTAAAAAGAGGCAATGCATACTTGTCTTTAGATTAAAATAAGACCAACTTGGACCTCTGACTTCTTTATTTATAGAGTTCTAAGGATTGCATGATATTAAAGCATTGAAATAATAATAGATGTGTATGTCTTTGACTGGTCCTTCCCAATGGTGGGATTCAATTTTTTTAACAACCGGTTCTGTGGGCGTGGCTTAGTTGGGGGTGTGGCTTGGTGGTCATGTGACTGGGTGGGCGTGGCTTGGTGGTCATGTTACCGGTGGGCGCAGCTATCTGCATAGGGACTACAGAGGACTGAAAAAAGTCATTTCTGACTGGTCCTCGCACTTTTGACCGGTCTCGCACTTATGACCATCCTCACATTTATGCCCATTGCAGCATTCTTAACAACGGTGTCAGTCATTTCACAACTGCTTCTCTTCATCATGGTGACAAGATAGGGAAAAACGTAAAATGTGAGGACAGTCGTAAGTTCGAGGACTGGTCAAAAGTGCAAGGACCAGTCAAAAATAACTTTTTCAGCCCTCTGAGTAGTCCATATGCACAAAAGGACTACCAGAGAGCTGAAAAAAGTGATTTCTGACTGGTCCTCGCACTTTTGACCGGTCTTCGCACTTATGACTGGTCATCATTTATGCCCATTGTAGCATTCTTAACAACCGTGTCACTCATTTCACAACTGCTTCTCTTCATCATGGTGACAAGATAGGGCAAAAACATAAAATGTGAGGACAGTCGTAAGTTCGAGGACTGGTCAAAAGTGCAAGGACCAGTCAAAAATAACTTTTTCAGCCCTCTGAGTAGTCCATATGCACAAAAGGACTACCCAGAGAGCTGAAAAAAGTGATTTCTGACTGGTCCTCGCACTTTTGACCGGTCTTCGCACTTATGACTGGTCATCATTTATGCCCATTGTAGCATTCTTAACAACCATGTCACTCATTTCACAACTGCTTCTCTTCATCATGGTGACAAGATAGGGCAAAAACATAAAATGTGAGGACAGTCGTAAGTTCGAGGACTGGTCAAAAGTGCAAGGACCAGTCAAAAATAACTTTTTCAGCCTCTGAGTAGTCCATATGCACAAAAGGACTACCCAGAGAGCTGAAAAAAGTGATTTCTGACTGGTCCTCGCACTTTTGACCGGTCTTCGCACTTATGACTGGTCATCATTTATGCCCATTGTAAGCATTCTTAACAACCGTGTCACTCATTTCACAACTGCTTCTCTTCACCATGGTGACAAGATAGGGCAAAAATGTAAAATGTGAGGACAGTCATAAGTTCGAGGACTGGTCAAAAGTGTGAGGACCAGTCAAAAATAACTTTTTCAGCCCTCTGAGTAGTCCATATGCATAAAAGGATACAGCAATAGAGAAGGATGAAGGAAGGGAAGGGAAATTAGAGTAGGAGTGAGGGTAAGAGAGGGAGGAAGAGAGGAGGAGAAGGAGAAAGGAAGAGGAAGTAGGGAGGAGAAGACGAGGGGGAGGAAGAGAAAGTAAGAAGGAAAGAAAAGAGAGAGGTGGTAGGTTTGAGGAGAAAGATTGCTGTACAGTAAAAAAGATGAAATGGAAGAAAGGCAACCCCAAACAAATACAAAGATACTAAGATAAAGAATGAATTGTTAAACTTTAAAGAATAAAAGAGAACAAATATGAATAAATAACAATAATTAGAAACACACATACAAACATACAATGTATTTTCTTTGAACAGAGTATTTGGCCGGTTCACAAATTTAAACAGTGTTTAGTCATTTCAATTAAATTTACAATTTCTATATTTCCTTTTTGCCATATTTATTCCTCATCTATTTTTGTAAAAAAAACAATATTACCCTTCATCCTCATCTCTAATCTTAATCAAATTCAATTTTTCCCTTCTATTCTATATTATATCCCTTCCCATTGTCATCTATTTTTATATCCATCCTCACATTGTTTAATTATGTAATATTACAGTTGTTTAATATAAATTCAACATTTTTATATAAATCAATTAGTTATATAACTACCTTTTTTGTATATTAATCAATATGAACATGAATATTCCAATTATTTCCATGCAATCCAATTTCTTACAAATCAATTAATTATATTTACCAATAATAATAAACCAAATAATTTCCCCCATATATTCCTCCAAACCACAACTTAACCATTTCTGCTTTCAACACAATATACAATTAATAGTATCTCAATTATTACAATTCCCTAGTTAAATAGAGCTTTTTTTCTTTTGTGTTTTAAAATCTTGAACTCTCCTCTTTTTCCCTAAATTTCCCATTGTTTGCACCTACCTTTTTTGGTGAGGAAAAAGAAAAGAAATCTGCCTGCCTAATTTTCCAACGTTGCAGCAACAGCAAAGCCAACAGCCTGCTTTACTTTCAGTTTCATTTTTCAGCATAGCTAGGGGAAAAAAATCTGCTCCAGCAAGCAGCAGAGCCCTGAGCAAAACAGCTGAGAGCAAATCAGCTGAGAGTCGGGAGCCAATCTAATCAAGGGCTAATTAGCCTATGCTGAAGCTCCGTGGGCCAATAAAATTACAAAAAACCACCGAACCTTTTGTTAAATTGCTGGCTCGCCCACCCCTCACCCACCACTATTTATTGGCAATAAATAGTGGTGCGGAGGGGCGGGGCAAGGGGCGGGGCGAGCCAGCAATTTAACAAACGGTTCAGCCGAACCCCCTAGAATCGGCAGAATCCCACCACTGGTCCTTCCTAATCTTCTCACTAACTCCTAACAAACTCCTCACTAACTCCTAACAAATTGAACAGAGATAGTTCAATTCTGGAAAAGATTGACAAGAAGAAAATTCTCTTCTCTTTCCTATTGAGGAAACTCAGTGTGGAAGGACATTGGCTCTCATTGTGACAAGCTCCCTGACCACATTCCAGTGATCCATTTCACTGAGAAAAAGGAAGGGAACAAGATGCACAGAAAAACCTGTTAGGTGTCAAATAAAACTTAGCCCTTCTACACTTTTCCACTCAGAATCTCTTTCTATACTTACCAGACATAATAAGCTATTTCTTCACCCATGTTCCACTAACAATACTGTGAAGAAGAGTTCTTTATCCTCTCTAAAATTCATCCTTTTCTCTGAAAGACTTTGGTAGACAGAGTGGAAGTAAACTGACTCACAAGTAACAGCAAAGAAACACTGAACTCTCCAGATGTAGAATATCTGCTGTAGCTGATTATTCCTAGATTTTAAGCATTCAGGGTTAGAGGCTGGAAACAAAAAGGTTTCAGCAGTTCAAAATCAAGAACACAGAAGAACAATCTTCTAACATAAAAGATGCAAGTCAAGGTGGAAAATGAGGGGTCCTTGGTGCCCTCTGAACTTGGTCATTTTTATGCAGACATTTCAT